GGAAAAACAAAATCAGTAAAGCAATACTTGGGGGCTACTTAACGAAAGGTAAAAACTGAAAAATAGTACCGCTACATCCTCAACAGGTACAGGAACCGGAGCTAACAAAGGAAGTAGCTCCTCCCCATAGCACCGCCCAGGGATCGTGTAAGATCGCCAAGGGGTACCAGCTCCCTCTGACATGCTCACCAACCTCGTGGCGTTAAACATGTGACGTGGTGGAGGAACAGGAACGACAAAGGTGTCGGAGGAATGCTGAATAGAAACCCTCTCTCCAAGATATACAGCTGCTCCATAGGTCCCTAATAAATAGCGACGCTCTGCAGAATACTGCGCGGCTAACCCAGGGACTGCCAGGTCGACCCACGGTCGGTACAGCACCTCAGGCTCCTGCAAAGAGCGTCAATCAGGCAAGAATCTATCTAAGGCATCGCAAAATGTCAAAAAAAGAAAAGAATCATATCGAGATGATCCAATCTCGGACATAAGCAGTGGACATCCCCACACGGCGGCTGCCCCAGGAAGCACTAACTGGAAGCCTGCGCAGCGACGGTCTTGCCGGTGCAGCTGAGGGGAAGTACTCATAGAAACAGATCTACAAGAAGCTAAAGTTATCAGCAAGTGCTAACTAAAATGTAGAGCTAAAATTTTTAGGGAATAAAGGATACCTCTACGACCCTCCAAAAGCCGGATAGAGCGACATTCGCCTCGAAGGACCGATGTCGACACGAGTCCCGTAGCGCTCGGATGAAATCAGCATAGGCCAAGCTGGCCTAGTCATAAGTCTCAATCCAGTGTAGATCGCGGACGACATGAAGGTAGTAAAGCAGCTCCCTACTACCCTTGTCAGGGGAGAACGTCCCTGACAGTAAGATGAGTGCAAAGATGCGTACCTGCTGCTCTCGGGTAGTCGCACCATCGTCAAAAGCCGCTGCTAGAGTCGAGCGGCGAATCCCCCTAGCACTGAACTGAGTCGACTCTATCTCAGCTCGAGCTCGGATAGCAATCTGACCCAACATCTCCTCAACCTCAGGAGAAAAGACGTCGATCCCGCTGTCAAACGGCAGTGGCACGGAGCTAAACTCCAGTCCTGTGATGAGACTGAAGTCGGTAGGAGTGACCATCATCTCACCCCAAGGGAAGTGGAAAGTGTTGGTGGTGTCCCAAAAAGAACTCCACCAGAGCACGGACTACATGGTGACCCCCACTAGAGGCAACCATGGCCTCGGTGGTCTCGTACAGCCTAGTAAGCCCGCAAGACTCACATTGAAGTCTCGTCTGATCATCTTTGGCGATGTACATCTTGTATAGATCGCCCAAGCCGTCACAGCCGGAACCATGACAGTGTGTCCTCCCAACGATGATGCCCCATCTCACCCTCTCAGAGATGTGGTGGACGGAAGAAAAGTAAAAGGTCCGCTCATCCCACTCAGGGAGTCGGCTGAGCGAAGTGGACGGCTCGGCATCGTCCTCTATGGGCTCGTGCTCCCGTCGAACGTCTAGGGACCGTGAACCCGAACCTCGCTGTCTAGCCATGCTACATTGTGCAGAATTATCATAAATTAAGGTTCTATAGTATTTAAAGTTCGCCTAGCCACATGATACTATCTTCGCAAAAAACAGAGTACGTAATACTAAAACAGAGCACAAATTCAAATTGAGCATGCACGACATTTTTCAAGCAATCAAACAATTTCTTGCAATACTATGGTAATTATTGTGACAAATTGGACAAGAATTGCTAGCAAAAACATCGAGAACAAGCCACATTGTTTTCCCAACCTTATGAGGTCCAACAATGGAAATTTGTTCATTTCTTCTCCAAATTGAGTTAAACAAGTCTCAAATTACTCCCAAGGCAATATATAAACATAATCAAGCAATTTCATGGCATAAAATTTTGAATTTTCAAGAAATTTGTGAATAAACATATGCAAAATTCATTAAAACTGGTGTGAGTTTGAAGGAAACTTACATAGATCGGGAAAATAGATGGAATAAGCTTTGATTTGCAACAAATTTGAGCGAATTTGGTTAAGAAACGAGCAAGAACGGATTAAACAAAGTTATGAGAATTCTCGAGCAAGAAACACGAGCAACAGCAGCGGAAATGAAGAAGAGAAGGGTATTTAAGGAAAACCCGACTCTAGCGCCAAGCGCCAGACCTTGGCGTTAGTCAATAAGCGTAGCGCCTGGCGCTAGCTCCAGCGTCTGGCGCTACAACCACATTATTGGCGCTGATGTTATTTCAGCGCCGCCAGAATGTTTAGCCACTCAGTACGGTTGTTCCAACTTTTTGCAATATGTTTAGGGTTCCTTGGTACGCCAGTTATCCCCTCTAAGCAATTTGACATGATTCTTAGTAATTGGCTTGATTATATAAAGTGATCGACCTGATGAAAGATCGTCTCACTTAGCTTAAAGTGCCTAAGCATTGGCTCATCGCAAAAAGGCACCGACATACTGGTTTATTCGGAAAGGCACCGACATACTGGTTCATAATTCAGCAAAAGGCACCAACATACAGGCTCACAAGCAACAAAAGCGCCAACGTACAGGCATAGCGGAAGCAAAGTTCAAGAGAGATTTTAAAGATCGACAAGCGGAGGTCTTTGGTAATTTTCTTTGAAAAATTATCGCAACAATTGAGGATAGCTTCAAGCGAGGATACCTTTGGCAGCATTCCCTAGATTGCGGAGAGTAGTCACAAACAACTGAAGGTGATTTCAAGCGAAGTTGTCTTCGATCGTGTTCCCTAAGATGTGGAAGATGGTCACAAAGCGGAAGAGGATCGTTTCAAGCGAAGCAATCTTCGATAGTGTTCCCTGGCTTGTGGAATATTATCATGGCGAAATTGGAAGCGGTTACAAGCGTAGCAGTTTTCAAGCGAGATGGCATTCTCTAGCTTGTAGGAGGTCATCAAAACAACAAGGATACGACAACAAATCGGTTACTTTCAGAGACGTGTGCTCGACGGTGCAAGATATACGTTTCTTAACTCTCTTGTATGTTTTAACTAACGCTAGTTTGCAAGTATCGGCATTACAAGAATGATTTAGGATCGCAGAACGTTCAGAATCATTCTCCATCCCTATCGATACTTTGACTTTTGTTTTGGAAACTTGCGTTTCTCCAAACTCAGTCAAAGAGGGGGCTTCTGTAGACACCCATTTGTGTCTCCCCAAAACCAAACCCAATGATGAGTACCTTTCATGTCGAATCATAATCGAATGAAGTGAAAGTGTGGAAAGTTTAGTGTTGCGGATAGTTTTAATTTCTTTTCTCTTCTCTCTGTTATTGAAAACCTATTTTAAGAAAACAACCAATCCAGTTTGGTTGGTCCATGATATGGGTCCAATAATAGTGTAATTGGATAGGGCTTGAAAAGACCTTTCCGACGATGTATTATAAGCCCAATTCCAATGAATATTGAGGAAGTTATGGGCAAATTATTGAACTGGGCCCGGTTTGAGCCTTATATGCGGCCCAATGATCTAGAGGAGGGCCTAATATAGATTTATCATTCCTAATGCAATTAGGAATGGTTTTAGTCTTCTAGATTCTTCTAGAAGGTTCTTTTCATTACTAATTCAATTAGCATTGATTAATTGACTTTTGTTGACTTTTTAGAGTTTTAATCAGAATAAAAGAACGTTTTTGAGGAAAATACGATTTTATCCTCCCGTACGGCAATTTCTATCTGATTTTTAGAAAACGCGTCGATTTCTTAGTCAGCGCCAAACGCCAGCATTAGCGCCTGACGCTAAGCTTGGCGCCTGGCGCTAATGTCAGCGTCTGGCGCTAACCTTGGTTTTACGCGTCAGAACTCTGTTTTGATTTTTTTTATCTTTTGGCTAATTTTCTCTATAAATAGCGTTCTAAAAACCCCGTTTTCATTCATCAGTTTTCACCAATTCTCACCAACTCTCATCAAGATTCTCTTGATTATTCTCTCTCTCTTTTCTAAACTAGCCTTCTCACAAATATAAAAATTCCTCATTCATTAGATTTAGTTACACCTAGCCATATTCGAAGTTGCCTTTGCCCTAGACGTGAAAGGTTTAATTTCTGAGGGTTTGGTCCCAAATCTCTCTTTCAATTATTTAATTTAATATTGTTTGTTTATTATTTTCCTTGAAGTTACTAACGCGTGTATTTTGTTATTAGAAAGAGGTACGAGGCATTCAATTAAGTACTTTAATTATTTAATTGATATTATGATATAGAAATCATGCTTAGGTTGTTATTTTGATTCCTAGTATCATGTTAGGATGTTTTCCTTAATTTGATGTTTAGGGTGACAACAATAAATTCCTAGTATCATGTCTAGGGTAACTTTAATACCAAGTATGATTAAAAGTATGATGCCTTTTATGTTCTTCCTAATATTTATGATTGTTAGTATCATGTTAGGGTTAAAGATTTGATTTTTATTGCTTAGTGACATGCTAGGGTTTGTTATTAATCTTGTTAGTATCATGCCTAGGATCTTGCTATTATTATGCTTTAACATGAATATTATGATTATAATTGTTATGATGATGATTTATGATTATTTTGATTATAATTATTATAATTATTATCATTATGTTGGTTGATGTTATTTTTATTGTTATTGCTTGATCACGCCTTTATTGCATGTTTAAAGGGAATTTGTACTTGTAATCACGCTTAATAAGATAATTAATAATCTTGTTTAGGGTTAATTTGATTATAATTCAAGTGATCGCCAATAATAGATTTATTTGTGCATTAAATTCAACCAACGTAGATAAACAGGTTTAGGATTAATTCTATTGATTGCATGTTAGTAAGAAAGCGCACATGAATACGATCAGAATAAAGTAAAGGCCTATTATTAGGGCAGGTTCAGTCTCTTTTAGATTGAATTTGTACCTTCATCCCCGAACTACCAGTCATGGTTCTAGACCTATTGGAGTTGACGATCTCCTGGATCGTTAAGGGGTGTAACCTTCAACATATTTGGGTAGTTGATTGTGAAGAGAGAAGAGCAAGAAATCAGAATCTTATGGAAGTGAATTTATAATAATGATAAGGTGGCAGAGTTGATTAAAGGAAAAATTCTTGTTGGTTGATTGTGAATTAGTGCCCCTCCTCCCCTGACACTTATAGTATAATTTGTTGATTATATCTGCATCCTACTTTTGAAACTATAATGTCAACTAATCTATATCTTAACAGTTATCAGGCACTTTTACTAAGTCATCCAATGAAAGACATGGTGATATTGCAGAATACCAGCCATTTATAAAGTATGTATCTTGTTTCATACTCTGTTCTCTATATAGCTTTTTCTTTCATATAAGTTGAATTTCTCTTCTTGAACTAATTTATTTAGAATATTATGCTAGCTCCATTAGAATACATGATAAGTAATTACATGTGTGAGTTTGATTTCCTCACCCCTTAAAAAGTTTCACCTATGCCCCTTATGAACAGTAGTCCCGCGTGGGAATGGCACGTGCAAATGATGACATGGCAGATCACTTCTTTTTTTATTTAAAAAAATCCTCTCTCCTCTCTCCTCTAAGTCTTTCTCATCTCACTTTCTCTCTCTTGCAAGAGCTTTCTTTAAGCTTCAACAATGGGGATGACGCATCTGATCCTCTCATGGCTCTTAAGGTACAGAAAAGCAAGGTTCATTTGTTGCTTTAAATTTCCGTCAAACTTGGTGAAATTTCTAGTATAGAAAGAAAGATCTAGCTAGGATTTTATCTTAGTTTTAGCCGATTTAACCGATTTGAAGATATTGATCTTGATACTATTCCTCTTGTTGAGATGGAGAGATGTGCATCATAATTCATTAATTGTTTGTTGGCAATGTTTTGGATGCTCACTAATTACACTAAGTCACAAATTCACAATCGTTATATGTATCATAAGCCTTGCTTTCATCACCCTATTTAAAGTGATTTAAACTTATATTCACCAATTCTATATTATATTTTCACTTATTATAGCTCTGATTTAATCTGATAGTACTGAAAAAACCTTACTTTTACTGAGAAAGACCGATGTATTTTACATTATTTTGCAGTATATTGACAAAGCTAATGATCGAAAAGCTTAGGGGAAGAAGGATTTCATATATATGTTACCGGATGCCGTCAACCAACTGACGACATTGATGATTTATCTGGATTGAAGATCTATGATATTGGTATATCTAAGCTAGATTATACTTTTTAATTTATTTTTATCAACATTAATAAGAAAGGTGTTTTGATAAATATATATATCTTGTATTTGTATAGAACAAATTTTCAAATGAATGATTAAATTTAATTGTTGGATGTCTTAAATTATATGAAGTATATTTTTATGGCTTTGGTTAATTCTATTATACTGAATTGTACATACTAGATCATGAATTTCTTTTACACAGGAAATGTAGATTTTGATGTAAAAGATAAAATACAAGAATACAACAATTATACGTATACAGGAAAAAAGTTCAATAATATCGTCAAAAATAAAATACAGGAATAATACAGCTAGCAGGAAAATAATGCAATATATTTTTTTATATAAAAAAAAACTTTAGAGAACGGTTATCTAACTTAGTAGTTCTCTATTGTAATGCAATATAGAACTGTTGAGTACTCTAAACCGTTCTATTTTCCTTCATTATTGTACGATTATAGGAAGGAAAAAGAGAACGGTTGTGACTAACAACCGTTCTCTATTTGTTAGTATATAAAACGCCTTATTGACCTGTTCTCAATACTTTATACATCGCTTAGCAGAAGAGCGGTCCTAAAGCGTTCTTTAAAACCTATTACAACCGTTCCCTAAGCCCTTTTTTGTACTAGTGATAATTCATAATAGGCCCTCCTCTAGATCATTGCGCCGCATATAAAGATCAAACCGGGTCCAATTTAGTAATTTGGTCATAATTTCCTCATTATTCATCGGAATTGGGCTTATAATATATCATTGGAAAGCTCTTTTCGAGCCCTATCCAACTACACTATTATTGGACCCTTGTCACAGAACAAACTAAACTAGATTGACTGTTTTCATAAAATAAAATAGGTTTTCGAAAACAGAAAGAGAGAATTTTAATTAAAACTAACCGCAACACTAGACTTTCCACACTTTCACTTCATTCGATTATGATTCAACGTGAAAGGTATTCATCACTGGATTTGGTTTTAGGGAGACACAAATGGGTGTCTACAAGAGGAAACCCAAAAACCTGAAGAACCCGACATATAAAGTCCCACTTAACTCTTCCATAAGTTTTGTTTATGTCTAGCTTCAAGGCTGCATAAAAACATTTCCTAACTTTGGAAGCATTCATAAATGACAGGATCTCATGCACCATCAAGCAATTATCAGACATCAACCTACCATGAAGGGTCAAAGGATCTCATGAAGGGACAAAGACATTCTGAAAATCCGAAACTATGTCTGGAAAAATCCAACGCAAATGACGAGCAAGACACTTAGATATGCATTTATAAATGACATTACAGAGACCTATCGATCTAAATTGAGAAACAAGCTTAGGGTGATCTACTTTAGGGAGAAAAACTAAGAACATCCAATTCCAGTCCTTAAGTAAATAACCTTGAGCAAAATAGAGCTGAACCGCATTCACAACATGATCACCCACCTCAGTCCAATAGGTCTTGAAAAAGCTGAAGTAAAACCATAAGGACTTGGAGACTTACTATCAGCAATACTAAACATCACTTGCCTAATATCATCAACTGAAAATAAAGCTAGCAAGGACTGATGATGTCTGTTAGACAAAGAAGGGAGGTGAAGGGAATCCCCAAGGGAACCAAGAAACTGAAGGCCTATCTGAATGCCTACTATATAGTGACCTGTAAAAATCCAGAACCAAAGAACGAATGTCCCCCGCATTTGAAACCCAAGAGTCGTCGTTGTCCTTAAGTCCAAGAATAATGTTCTTTTAACATCGAGCCTGGACTGCAAAAAAAGCAACCGAGTATGCTCATCACCAAATGCATCACAGTTCACTTTTGCTCGTTGTCTCCAAAAAAGAGAGGCCGCCTGAGCGTCTTCAATATTTTCCATTCTAAAAGTGCTAAACAAACAACCAATACTCTGAGAATTAAGATTAAAATAAGCATTAGTGACATCTGCAACCAAAGCTTTCCAATCAATGCCTGTAGGGAATATTTCAAGCATCCCACAGTTGAGCCCCACTGTGATCATACATTTAAGTATGGTGGAGTCCAAAGGGAAGGAAGCTAGAGTAAAAGAGTCGCCAACAAGTTTTAGGAACTTGTAAATCGTTCACAGGGTGAAGGTTACACCCCTTCACGATCCATGAGATCGCTAACTCCATAGTGGTATGGAACCATGATTGGATATTCGGGGATGAAGGTACAAATCCAACCTAAAAGAGATTGAACCTGCCCTAAAAATAGGCTTATTCTTTATTCTTCTCGTATTCATGCACAATCAATAGGTTAACCCTAAACATGTTTAATCTATGTTGGTTTAATATTAATGCACAAACAAATCTATTATTGGCAATCACTTGAATTATAATCATATTAGCCTAATTAAGATTATAAATTATCTTATTAAGCGTGATTGCAATTACAAATTCCCTTTAAACATGCATAAAAGGTGTGATCAAGCAATAACAATAATATATCAAGCAACAATGATAATAAGAACAATTATCATAAAGCATAATAATATTAATCTCATCAAAACATAATATTAGCAAGATCTTAGACATGATACTAACAAGATTAATAACAAATCCTAGCATGTTACTAAACAATAAAGATATTTATCCCTAACATGATAGAAGAAAGAATAAGAAGTAACCTAAACGTGATACTATAAACATACATGATATTAAAAGTATTAGTTAATATCGTAAACATGATACTAGGAAGCAATAAAAACATCCTAACATGATACTATGAATAAAAATTATTAAAGCATGCTTTCTATGACAAAATAATAATAATTAAATTACTTACTTGGTTGCCTCGAATCTCTTTCGAATAACAAAATACCCACGTTAGTAATTTCAAGGAAAATAATAAACCAAACAACTAATTTAAATAATTGAAATAGAGATTTGGGACCAAACCCTCAGAAATTATCAACCTTTCACGTCTAGGGCAAAGGCAACTTCGAACTTGGCTAGATGTGTCCAAGTCTCGCAAATGAGGAATATTGTATTTTGTAAAAAGGTGTAGAAGGGCTTAGAAAGAGCAAGAAAGAATAAGCTTATAAGCTTTTAGAGATAAGAGAATAGAATTAGATGATTGTTGATTGTTGGTCCCTGTGACAATGGAGGTCTAGGACCCTATTTATAGAAAAATAGTTCGAAAACCGATAGAGAAGAAATCAAGTTCCATTCGGAATAAAAAAACCTCCTGTCGCGAACGACAGGAGCCAGCGCCAGGCGAAAGACTTTGTCTTCCGTTGACAGGCTTGTCGTCTTGCGCTGAGTCAGAAATAAAACGCGCTTTGTACGCGAAATCCTCTTCTTAATATGACTAAGCAGCAAATTCCACGTTTATCAAATTAAAACAGGGTTTATCATAAAACACTTGTTTTATTCCAAGTAAAACTCTTTAAAATATAATTATCAATCCTAATATTATTAGAATTTAAAAGAACCTTCTAGATTATTCTAGAAGATTATAGTCAATCCTAATAACTTTAGGAATAATAATCAAATAGGCCCTCCTCTAGATCATTGAGCCGCATATAAATTTCATTTCGGGTCCAATTTAGTATTTTGGCCATAACTTCCTCATTATTATTCATCGAAATTGGGCTTATAATATATTGTTGGAAAGCTCTTTGCGAGATCAATCCAACTACACCATTATTGGACCCTTATCATGGACTAAACTAAATTGGATTGGCTATTTTCATAAACAAAGTATATTGTCAAAAACAGAAAAAGAGACATTTTAATAAAAAACAACCGCATTGCTAGACTTTTCACACTTTCACTTCGTTCGATAATCAAATGACGTGAAAAGGTATTCATCACTGGGTTTGGTTTTTGGGAGACACATTTGGGTGTCTACAATGCCCCACGCCTTTTTATGAGAAACACACTAAGCTAGTAGACAATGACGAAGAACATAAAGCCTTTTTTATAATGAAAACATAATAGATCTAGGGATATGTTCTACAAAAATAGTCCGAACCACAGCAGCAACATCCATAAAGTGTAGGCATCGGTTTTTAATTTTGTAAGGCCGTTTATAACTACCATAAGACAAAGAGTCACACAAAGCTACATGATTAGAAAACAAAATATGTTGGTGATGAACAGAGGTAGCTAGCCAATCCTGAAGCCAGTGGGAAGTAGCCAATGCTTTATTTAATCTCTCAAAGGTGGGGTCCATAAGTGTTCTTCTATTAGTCCAAGTGAAAGACGGTCCAAAAAACAGTATTTCAAGTAACCCATTGTCCAATTTCCACTGTATGAAATCACGATGGTCAGGAATGTCCAGATTACCTCCGACCTTATCCGATAAATATTCAACCTGGTTAAAATTGCCAACTAACACAACATTCAGATAAGTAGCTAATATATCAAAAATTTCCGACCACACAGTCATACTATCAAAAACTTGAGGCGCTCCATACAGAAACATGCCATGTTTTGTTACCAAAATCTCCACAACTCGACACAATATTACATGTAGAGAAACTTAAAGAGGCCTAATCACAATCGGGGCAAACCAAAACACACAACGCCCACCATTGTGACCCGCTAAATTAACACCCATAAAACCTGAACATGACAGGGAAGATAACTTGTGCATTACAGAATTTACAAACACCATAGTTTCAGCTAAGAATACAATATCAACACCATAAAAGTGGACTAAGGACGCGATGTAAGGAACTTTAGAGGAGTCCACCTGACCCAATCCCCTACAATTCCAAGACAGAATCTTCATCTGTTGCATGGTGGCCTTAAACGGGCGGCCAAAGAACTAGAATGAGACATCAAAGTTGGAGAAAAAGTACCAATGCCTTTACATTTCTTAACAGTGAGACATGAGAAACACCTAGTAGAAGCAGCCTTCGCTAAATTTTCATCAGAGTAGAGCATTAAATTCTCACCCGAGGTCGATATCTTCTTAGGCCAAAATGAATTAATCCTTTTAATGGTGAAGGGATTCGAGGCCCCTTATGCAATGAAACTGACGAAGAGATAGAGGTATTTGGCCATTTAAGAGTGTTTAACCTCGAGGGTCGAGGAAATTGAGCAGATTGGGTAGTAGTATTGGAAGGTGATGGTGGATAGGTGTCAGGGCAATATTGTTGTTTACTGGAGCGTGTAAAGGTTTTTTTGTGGGCTAATATATTAGGTTACGATGGTGTTTGGTACAGTTCATTTGGAACAATGCAAGTTTAATTTAATATAGGTTGTTGGTTCTGCTTATGGTTTCTTTTTTTTCAAGGGTGAGAAAAATGGAGTAGCAAACTCACGGTATCTTTTGTTGGGTTGCATGTTATGGGGTCGGGGTCGGTCGATGTTTTTGAAAAAGCTCATGAGATTCACTACGGTTGTTCTATATTTCTCTGTTCTCTTTAGGCCAATATTCGTATTAGAGAGATTCTAAGCGAGCAAAGTAGCAGAGTTACACGACCCGTTCTTATCAAATAGGAGTAGCCCTTTAATGATTTAAAGGGCAAGTATTCTGTTTATGGCTAACTTGTTGGGTTTTGATGAGTCCAACTCATCGCGAAAGAAAACCCGAGCCAAGAGCTCACTCACAATTAATATAATCACAAGATATAATAAACTTAAACAACAAGAATTAAGGAAAGATTAACACCAATGACGCGTGCTTCGCTCGTAACCCGAGCTCTTACTTGGGAAAGCTTTTAGTATCGCTCGCGCGAATACCTCCTACAAAAATCCACCCGCAACTCGACCCCGACAAGGTCCAATGCTTATAGGTTAGCTAAGCCCGACCTAATACTCGAGTAATTCTATGTGTTTAAAGATTTTCTCAATGAAGATGCCTTTTCTAACACCTTACTCAACTGAACAATCCCAAGGTATGCCTTGGATATTTATAAGGAGTGCTTCCTTGTGAATTCAACTCATCTTTCAATGTGGGACTTTTTCACAAAAAGATCCCGCAAAGAAAGAATGTTAAATTCAATCCTTAGTTAAATAAACCAAGGAATAACAATGTAACAAGTGTCACATGGCTAGGTGAGGATCACTTCCTCACTTGCTCCCCAATGCAGCTCACATGCATTGTGATTTAACCATGTGGCACCCAACCTTGAGCCCCAAGTTAGGTTCGATTGGGCTGCCACCTTTTGGCCCGCATCCATGACCCGCACCCGGGTTCGCGACCCGTTTCCATATGACATTGCCACCGTGGCACACTGCCACGTGGCGCATTGCCATATGGTGGCTGCCAACATGGCACACCGCCACTATGGCGCGTTGCCATGTGGCACACCGCCACTTGGTGGCTGCTACGTGGCGCGCTGCCACTTGGTGGCTGCCACGTGGCGCACTTGTATTTGGCGCGCTTCCCTAGCCTTTTGCGCAACTAGGATTTTGACTTATTACTTGAAGCATTTTCTCGTCTCGCCAATTCCTAAATATTAGCTCGACTTTTAAGATTCGGTTTTGACGCTAAGCTTAGAATCCGACATCTTTGTTCACAATACTCGAGCGATTCATTAATTCCTTCTAAATTAATTCGTCGTGTCGGTTCATTAGTTGCTTGGGTGTGACCCAAAGGGTTCAGTCAAGATTAAGCTGTAATATTAATTACTCATTAATATTACTAATCGGAAGCGACCTCCACCTAGGCATTCTGATCACTTGACCTCACTGAATAATTAGCTTTCTAATAATTCCGGACCCTTTATCGGAATAATACACTTGTTCGAAGGACACTATTCCTATCATAACTCTATTATATTTAGAGCACAAAATAAATAAATTCTCTTGTTTGCAAATAATCCGTTTTAACTGAGATTGTCGTCCAAGGTCTAAGTAAAATCCGGATAATAACGGTTCCAAAACATGAATGTGGAGTTTTACTCTAACCAAGCATCTAATTAATCCTATATGGGGTTCATCAATACATAGAATTTTCCAAGCCAGAGCAAGCATTGGATTAACGACATTATTCTCGCATAAGTTTAGAGGTTCCTCACTGAGATGAACCCAAATATCAGCCTCGTTAAATTTCATATCTCTGATTGACTTACCCCGAGTCCAAGGTGTAAAGATCAAGAGAGCCTCTTGGTACGCTGCTGAACCTGTTGTAGCATTGCATCTTTATCATGAACATCCTCAAAAATAAAAAGGAAAATACTATCAAACTTCAGGACTATAATTTTCCCAAATTTAATCCACTAGTTCGAAACCCACCTTTAAATTCGGGTCTCTGAGAAATTCCTATAGTCTATGAACTTGCCCAGTACCAGAAGATGGAGAAAATAGGGATTAAGGCTTGAGGATAAGCGACTTCGGCTTGTTTGAGCGAAGGGTTGAGTTACCGTCATCTTAATTGAAACAGGAGAACAACAAAAATAGTGGAATCTTTATTAATAAGTAGGAATACCGAAAAGAACAAGGAAATTAAAGGAAAAAAGTGGTTATAAAACATTAAATTATTTTCTGGATCGATGATCGAAATTGTATGAAGATGATTGATGAAGTTGCTGAAGGTGGAAGACGGTGGAAAGCGGTTGGGGATAAGGCTCTAGTTTCCTAGAGACAGAAACTTGTGTGATTGGATTGGCTTACTCTCTTGTTTTTTTTGAAGTATTATGTGTGTTGTTTTCTGTACAATATCTTGCTCATTTATCTTACATGAATGACATTATTAATATACTTATTGATGAAGAAATGGATAATGTCATGTTGTGTTATTTATTATATTTTTTTTACGAGAATAAGAATACTATATTAATATCATTAATGAAAAGTCATACGAGCTATTCAAAAATAAAAATAAAAATAAATAAATAAATAAAAAGTCATACGACATTTACAATAATAACATAGATTTGTAAACCACATATTTAGAGAAAATAACAAAACCTTTATAAATAAAACCATAACTATTTTGTATATTTGGCATGTCTCACACTCCAACGCTTCAAACTTGATGCGAACAGTGATTTTCGATATTTTTGCATCTTTCCAACTAAAGACCTTCGCAATTTGCGCTAATATTGATACTAGAGTTGATGACAAAAATTTATATGAATCCAAATCACCTTCCCTACGATTAGAACCCTAATATAAAATTCCCATACATAACGAAAATCAAAATCCCAGAATATTTGAGAAAAACCCAGAAAATTAGAAATAAAACTCACTAATGTAGAAAACAAAACAAAGCAAAAAAATAACTTTCTCTAAGGAAAGTAAATGAAGATGGATGACAAATGGGACTTCAAATGACCACTTGTGCTAATCGACTTTAGTTTAGGGTAAAAGTTACCCCAAAACGTGGACCAATCCCATAGTGACACGTAGCCCAATCAAAGGGCGATACGTGTCCCTATAGGAAGATAACACTTATGCAAGCCCTACAAAGATCACTTGAAAAAGAGAGAAAACGGTCTCCTTACATCATGAGGTTCAAATCCTTGAGAAAACCGCAAAGCGACACCCCCCAAGGACACATGACCATGCCTGATTGCGCCGTCAATCAGAAAACGTCATTCGAGGGTATTAACCCTAAAAGGAACAAATCCCCACCACTATAAATACCCCAATAATTTAGGATGAGAGGGGTGGATTGTGACATAACATTCAATAGAGCATTAAAAACAGCTCCAACTTCTCTCTAGTATCTCTCTCTAGCTTTTTTGTCTCCCGGTTACTAACTTAACCGTTGGAGGCGAATATTCCGACAAAAGAATATTTGTGTTTTGCAGGTGGTGTCCGGGCCGTCTATCAGAAGAGCGTGACCAGTGTCCAAGGGGCGAAACAACTTTCTTAAGGAAAGGTGGAATGAAATAAAATTAGGGAACAACCCTAGAAAATTGGCTTTTTCAATAAGATGAATTGATGATCGGATGACAAAGTAACGAAAGTTAGAAAAGAATTGACAAAGAGATTCGAATTTTTCTACGAAAGACAAAAATGAGATCGAGTACCTCCCCTAGATAGAGATTCGACTTTATCTAAATGGAATTATGATTTTATTCGAAAAGATACAACAAGATGGAGTAAGACCGTTAGAGGATCGACTTTCTCTAAATGAAAATTTTGAAATCTACATCATAAATAAAGTGTTTCTAATCTTCAATATATTTGGAATCTAATTGAAATAAATTGAATTAAAGGGTTAGAAAAATGAGATAACCTTCAAGATTATACCTTTGTGCCTTGTCAAAAGGTAATACAATTAGAATAAGAATTTGTACAGTTTTGGTTATTTCGGAGGTTGTTTTATTAATACCCAAAATTAACTACATGTGTATTTATAGTCTTACAAAACGAAAAATAAAGAAAAATATGAGAATTAGCTTGACGTGTTGGAAATTAGTGTTCTAGTTTATTAGCAAGATTTACCTATACTTAATGTAGACATCTATTTTTGGCCTCCTATCCCGATAGGAAGTGCAATGACGACAAATAAACCATCTTTGTGTTGGATTAACGTGAAGAACACTTATGAATAACTGATTGAATTGTAAGAACATAAAAATAAGCTAGCCTAACCCAAAAACAAAAGCATTAAGGTCCAATCAACTAAGCCCGATCATAATTAGGCTTAAGCCCGAGCTTAAACCCTAAAAATGACGAATTTAGAGGCGCTTAGGTTAAAATTAATGATGTCGCAGATAAATCAGTGCGCATCTCTGGTAAAGGATAATTAGGTCGTTGGACTAACTACCCTCAACCAAACAATATTTATAAACCTACACCTACACTAAACAAGTTTAGTGGTAAGTAGAGGGTCGAACCACGGAGACGACATAAACACTATCAATACCACCACCAATTAAGCTAGGTCAAAGAGATAGGATGGATAGAACAATAAACAAAAATGAGATTAATATTAAGTTAAACTAACACCAAGGGAGAGGGTCAAACATGACAATGATCTTCAATAAAGTTAGGTAATGGAAATGAGTTTACATGCAAACCAAATATCTCATATAAGGCAATACCAACAATACCATCTAACCACCTATCGGGGTCAAAGGCTTTCCCAACTTAACACATGCTCATACTATCGTCATAAGCTGTGAAAGTTAAGGTTTTTGCATAGAATCGATCACCTAATGGATATCCCTAAGTTACACTATCGTCATAACTTAGTTCAATCCACCCAATTACAACACATGATTGGCCATTCACATGGAGTAATTAGTAAAACATGGTTACAAGGTATATTTAATCACATATAACCAACATTTGTCTAGCCTAATACATTCAAGATTCACCACATGCTATCACCAATCCCTTAGTAAAGGGAATTACTCACTAATCATGAACAACTAACACAAAACCCAGCAAGAAGAACAAAGAGAAGCAATTAAACTAAACAACTACTCTAATCAAGCAAGAAATTAAGAAAGAACAATAAATGAGATAGAGTTTAGAATGCTCATTGAAGTATTGAAAAGGAATCCAAAACAATGTCACTTTGCATCTTCATCTTCTTCAATCCACCATTGAATCTCTTCACTTTCTCTCTCTCTAAAATACCCTAAATTACTCTTAATCTACATTACAAAGTATAAAAACAAAGATTAAATCTAAATCTAAGCCTAATTTATGTGAAGATTGATGGAGAGATGTTAGGGTTTAACCCCTCAAAGAGGAGAGAGAAAACCCCCAAAGAAACCCACCATCAAAACTTCCCCAAAAATAGGAGAGAATCGGGCTAAAAATAGAACCGCAGTAGAATGGCGCGCCCGCGCCAATCTGGGTTTCGGCCTGGCAGCGACATTCAAATTCAAATATCCATAACTTCTGTTCTAGGAGGCTTCTTGTGGCGTGCGACCTATCGTTGGAAAGCTCTTCAAGTCTAGTTTCCAACGCAATTTGAATCACCGCAATCCGATGTGTAAATCAAAAGTTATGGCTAAAAGAGTGAATAAAGGTCAGTTTTGGAGTTCAGGCCCTTGCGCTCCCGCGCCTAACTTAGGCGCGCCCGCGCCTAAGCCGCGCCCAAATCGCGCCTACATTCTGCCTCCTTCAATATTTTCGACCCCAATGTTAGGCACGTCCGCGCTGGGTTTGGCGCGCCCGCGCCATTCTGAAAGCGCGACCCGCGCTGTCCGCATGGCCTTGCTTGCTTGCTCCTTAACTTCCTTTGTAGCTCTTCAAATGAACTCCAATTCTCCAAGCTCTTCATTCTATTAAAATCAACTCCAAAAGCCTACAAAACACGAGAAAAAGCACAAAAACATAATAAAGAGATAAACGGAGCAAAAGGGGTACAAACAAGGGACAAACGAAGAAAAATACCGCGATTAGAGGATCTAAATAGTGGCATAAATGCCACTTATCAAATTCCCCCTCACTTGCCTCTTGCTTGTCCTCAATTAAGAACAAAAGCAGAAAGAAAAAGAAAGAAAAATGATCTAATAACACTAAAAGGAGAGGGGTGAAAAAGAATATACACTAACTCACTTTCGTAGGAATCACGGTTGTTTTTAGCGTAAACAACAAGCGATTTAAACCTTAAAGTCGCCTATGAGGACGAGTGTGCTCTCGTAAGGGTTTCCAAAGAGTTTAACCCATAACTCTACACATAAAGCAACACAAACAAGGCAATGCATAGACAAATAAAATAAACACAAAAACAAGACGTTCTTAGTGGACTTTTTGGAACGAAACAAGCACCAATGAATGCACAACTTTCTAAACAAATAAGGGTATGCACGTTCCAAGATGTTTAGGGTTGAAAGAAACATAGACTAAGCTAAGCATAGAGAACTAAGAGCCGTACAATTCACCTTTCATCCCAAACTAGCTAGCCACGTTCTCTCCACTAGCTTCAAGTCAACCATTAGGTGGGCTTCTCATGGTTCCTCGAAGGAACCGGAAAAAGATAAAGAAATGAAAACGATGAGAAGGTTATCCCGACGTATTGGCTATGCACTCTCTCTCTATAAGCTTGACAACTATCTTCCTCCATCGATAAAGACTAAACTCTATAGGGTCTAAAGGTCTTTTATTGGTTGTAAGGGTATGCTTGGGGTGTAAGGTGGGAAAAATTTTGAAAAATTTAAAAATTTGGTGGTATTCCTCCACACTTATTCAATAAACACACACTAACAAGACTAAGAAACAGGACTCCCCCACACTTGAACGGAGCATTGTCCTCAATGCTCAAACACGAGGGATATGAAGTTTTTTTTTTTGGTCCTTACCTTATTTGAGTAAGGACGGCTTTTCATAAGCATTTGCTCTTATTTCACTGAATAGAAACACAGTTTACTGACTTGCTTGACCAAAGAACTACAACTTTCTCATTTGCGTTCAAAATCAACACAAAACAATTCTCAAACCAACATGCTTCACATAAACAAAAGGTTTAGGGGAACAAAAGGTCTTCGGTTTGTAACGTGGCTCAAAATCAAGAAAGGGAAATAGGCTCAACGGGTTAGCAAGAGGGGCAAATTTAAAAGAAAACCAATTTTGTAACAAAACAAAAAGAAGGATAAGAAAATGAAAAATGCCTATGTCCTCCCTTAAAGGGTTCGGTCATGATCTCGGGTAGATAGAAGTCAAACTCTGGATTGAAAAATGCATAACCAAGGATCCAAATATGCCACTCAACAAAGTTGATGAAGGCTAGAACAAATAAACCTCACACGGGATTTGTATAGCAATTACCAACCTAAGGGTTCATATCCACCATGGAGAGCGACACCGTCTTACCACAACCATGGATTAAGGCTACAAGTATCCCAAAGTTCTTAAAACCGCTACCTTAGCATTAAAATATGTTTAACTCAACCCAAAACAATCTCAAACCGTGCATACCATTACCAATTAGGAAGGAAAACATTGAAGGACACAAGTTCAAAGTAGTAAGACCAAAACAAGAACGGATCAAAACACATATGCAAACTTGCCTTGTTTTCAAAGGAAAATACGCTATACAAACAAATATTCACAAAACGAGAACAACTTGAGAATGTATATACAAATTGCGGTAGAAGAGAGCATGATCAACGACAAAGCCATGCATACCAAAAGTCAAGTCAATAAGGCACTCATGGCCATCCAAATATAGAATAACCAAAGTCAAAAATAAACCTTGGTATGTATGGGGGGTAAATCAAGCAATCAAGAGACCAAGAAAGGGAAGAAGGAAACAACAAAACCACAAACATTTAGCTTTCAAACCATATGAAAATAAAAGGGTAAAGCAACAAAAGAGAGGAGATGGAAAGAGTGAACCAAAATGTTAGGTGGGTGTAGAAACCCGCAAATTAAGTCATTTTCCTCATTTCCATTAAATTGCTCTTCTTTGATGCTTCAACTTCCATTTAAAAATATTCCTTGGTTTGCTACTTCTTATGGTTCTCGGTCCAAGGTCATGCGCAAAAGT